TTAATACATAAATATATAGAAATTATATATGCATATAATGCATAAAATATGCATAAAATATGTATAAATTGTAAAATGTATTAATTTAAATTAATATATAAATATTAAATATTAAATATTAATTATTTAATATTAAATATTTTTAAAAAAATTTAACAATTAAAATAAAAGATTAACATGAAAAAATTAAAATAACAATGTTAATATATTTATATTTTGATTATTAAGACAATTTAATTTCATATTTCAATTCAAAAAATGCAAAAAATATATGAAACAATAATATTGAAAATTAAAAATGAAAACAAGATGAAAATTATATGTAAAAGTATACAAGAAGTAATGTAATACTTAAAAGTTATGTAACATCTATTTTTCTTTTTATGTAATAAAACTTTTATTATTTCGTCCAACTTTTATTTTTTCGCCAAACTTTTATATTTTCATAATTTCAATTTTATTGAAGAATGAAGGTATTTATTGCTTTATTGTTCTTCGTATTTTACTCCTTTTTTATATAAATTGTATTATTAGATTTATTAGACGTAATTGATATTTCATGTTCCATTTTTCTTCTGTATTTTAATTTAAGAACTTAAAAAAATGAAAGAATTAGATTTTTTAATGACTCGTATTTAATAATAGAAATAAATTATTCTCAATAAATTGAATTTATTATTTTAATTTTTTCGAATATAATTTTATTTTTATTTATGTATACATATTTGTAATAGATTAAATATAAATAGATTAAATAATTTAAAAATATATTAATTAAAGAAATTTAAGATTCAATACTGAATTACTATAAAAAATCATATTATTAATATATAAATTTATTAACATATAAAAAAAGTTAAATTAATACATATAAATTAATTTTGTTTTTCATAAGATTTATGCGTATATTGTATAAATACGATAATTTATTCGATATGAATTGATATTTATATTTTTAAATATTTTGTTTTGTTTGATTTAATTTATTTTCCTTTTATTATTTTAATTATAATGTTATTGTAACATTATAATTAGAATTATAACAATAATAATTATGATAATCAATGTCACAAACAATTCACTCATATTGTTATAGATGAATTAAATTAATACTCATTATACGTTCTACAAGACAATAGAAAATAATGCTTTCGATTTAAATTAATTATTTTTCACTTCTCTTAATATCTATTATGTGTATTATAATTCCTTGAAATTATTAATTATCTTTATAAATGTTGAATTTTTTCATTGATATTTTTTCGTAAAATATTGTAATTTTTATTGATATTTTATTCTTTATTTCTTTTTTATTATATATTTATATTTATATAAATTTGCATCATATTTTCGTTTATTATTAGTTGAATAAGAAAGATTTATTGTTTTTTTTATAATATAAAAGAAAAATATATTATAAAAAAAATATCAGATCTATTTACAGAATCTATAGAATTTTTTGTATATTATATATAATATATAATTTTCAATTGTGAATGATTATACAGACTTAATTATATAAAATGTTTTCAAAATTATAATATATACAAGTGATTAAAAAATAATTAATTTATATATAAAAATAATTTTATTTTTTAAAGCTTTATAATATTATATGTAATTCATTTTTATAATATTGAAAATATTTAATATATTTTCAGAACATCTAAAAAAATTAATAAATTAAGTATATTTTTTTATTATTTTCTGTATCTAATTAAAATTTATTATATCGAAATCAACATTGCTCATATTTTTACTTAATACAAAATATAAACCAGAAAAACAAAAGAATTATTATGAATGATAGATATAAATCTGAAAAAGATAGAAATCAGATAAATAGAAATATTCAATGCAGTTACATATAATATATGTATATATTACATAATATATATATATAAAAGGAAATTTATTTTAGGAATAACGGATCGACATATTACCCTAGAGGATCATACGCAATGGTTAGCTTCGGACATTGATAATTGCTCCTGTTGCTGTGAACTCCAGGGCATTGATCAATGGCCAGACGAAAGTGACAAATGGAAAAGTTCCCGTGCGAAAAGATTCCTAAGAAGTTATGGAAACAGTTGTATTTGCGCTATAAGGTGCATAAGACGATTGATCAAGAAGCTGGTCGAGCACAAATATTTTCAACAGGGTATCTTATTGGCGATTTTGATCAATACTTTGAGCATGGGAATAGAATATCATAACCAGGTCAGTGTTTTACTTTATACAACAATTATGTAATATGTCCACTGTCCGGATTAGAATTGCACAGTTGGTGAAAGCGATGATTATTAAAACATTAAATTGGTCGATGGAAATTAAAATTGGAAAAATGAAAATTATTAATTCTTGTAATATACAGAGTTAATTGTATTAATATTTGGAAGATTGATAGTCAAATTAAAAATTGATTACAAAAATATGGATCAAAGTTTATTTAAACAATTAAAGCTTATTTAGATAAAGCGAGACAAAGCTCTATCTTTGTTATGTCGCCATTGCATTTTGTTTATTTTATTTCATCCAATGAAAATTTAAATAACTTAATAAATAAGTTTCAATCAACAGTTTTGTATTAACTTTTGTTTTACCGTTTGAAATTGATTTTTCAAAGATGTTTTTTAAATATATATATATATATAGTATAGTAGAATATCAAAATCATTTCTAAAGATTTTAAATTTTTTCATAAAAATTGTATATTTTTTTTATATTTATCAAATCATGTAAAAAAATATTTAAAAAAATTATATTTTATGAAGTAGTTTGAAATTAAATTTTATTCTGTAAAATGAGAATTATGTTCACAAAGTAAAAATAATTAATTCTATAAATATATATTTTTACTTAAATATATTTTTAATAATTTCTTTTTATATACATATTCAATAAATAATTATATTATATATATA